TTTCGTTGTGTGACATCGTTTAAGTCAGATGCTCGTTACTTTTGCGAATTTGCTTTAATAACCTATTAAATTAAAAAGACTATTTTACTGTACCACAAAATGGACCACATTTCACTTTTTTTTCTTGTTGTGTATTATGGGACTTTTAACAGATTTACTAAGGTATATCATCATATTTTTAATTTTTATATGATTAATATTAATTATTTTTGTATACGGTTACTTTTCCAGAACTTTCTTATGACTTTGTTAATTCTTGATAAAAATGACTCACAGCGTATTACACCGAAAGAGGAAAGAATTATTTGTTAATTTTAAGAATATTGTAAGATTATGTATTAATTTTCAATTTAGAACGACATTTATATTATTGTATGATGGCATTGAAAATGACTCAATTGGAGTTGAAACGTTTGTTTCATTTTATTGTATTTTAAATGTTTTTGTATTAAGTTTTCTTAGCTGAATTATAATTTTTTATTTGCGTCATTGGCTCGTTGCCCTTCTTTTATACTACCTTTGCATATAATATTTAGTTGAAAATTCAAACACGATAAAAAAATGCTATAAAAAATTTTATATTCTAGCAATCAGTTTGAGCGTACATAATTATTTTGATAGTTCAGCAAAATTATTTTCAATTCTATATCTAGCTACATTTTTAGATATTTCAGTAAAACCGTTTCTTTCTTTCCTGTCTAATCCTTTTATCAAAGATGCACGAATAATTTAAAAGAGCTGGAAAAAGTTCCTTTCTTTTCAATGAGAGATCCATTTACATTTAATATAAAAACATAGGTTATAACATTAACATTGCTGTATTTAATAAAGACTTAATTGTGCGTTTTATGTGTGCTTTACAGGTGAAGATATGGTTCCAAAATCATCGGTATAAATGTAAGAGGCAAGCGAAAGAAAAAGCCATGGCCGAGCAAAACGCCCAAAATCAGGTAATTACGCAAATTTCGAAGTCTTGTGCAAACCGCTTCGAAAGTGAAACGTACGTTGAATATAATATTACGAATTTCGCGAAAACGCACCATGTCGATGATTTCTATTATGTCTAAGGAATTCATAAATGCTACTTGTTTGTAATAATCGTTAAGTGATACACGCATATATTGCATAGTTTATATAATCTTTGAATCTATTTATTGTCATGAAATTATATAGATAGAATAAGAAATTTGTGATTCCCTGGTCAAGAAATTTAATTGTTGAAAACAAATGCGCAATGTATTGTTATAGATGATATCGAAAGTAATAAAATATATTATGTATATAGTAAAAAGTGTTTGTGTGAGCTTTTTGGCTGGAAAAAAAATCACACCAAAATTTTCATAATCGCGACCGATGCAATCGGATGTCAAACGTATTATTTCGTGCATTCGGCATCGAGATACCATCGCGTCTTCGGATCATTCCAGCGATTTTAAAACAATGACAGTCCGCACTCGACGAAAATGTCGCGTCATGTAGTGTCGACCAATCCGAAATGAAATGGCTTTAAATGAGAAATATCGCGGAAGCCGCATAAATCCTCGCATCCGCATCATATTTCGTTTCGAGAGTACCACTCGACCGCTCGAAGCGATTTTGCATTTATTTTGTTATGTCATTTGGGATTTCCGAGGGATATCGCGCCGTGCGTCGTCGACAGAACGATAAAATTGCTCGCGTTGAGCACGTAATCACGCGCCCGTCGCATTTCACATGGCTCAAAAATATAGCGCGAGATTACAGAGTCGAGTAAAATAGCGAATTTGTGCGTCCGATGAAATTCAATATTCGCTATAATCCAAGTTAAAAATACGTGGGACGTTGAGTAATATTGACCGGGATAACTACGTCACATGCGGAGGTAGAAGTGAAACGCTTTAATGTATATTACTTTCGCAGTTCAAAAAAAAAAGCGTGACTTTAATGAGGAACAGTTCGCACAGAATATTCTTAAATCGATAAAATATAAACACGAAATATATACGGAGAGGAAGATTTTTTGCTGAAATATTTAAAAATTTAGTTACAGATCTGAAAATAATTTTGTTGAATCATTAAAATAATTATTTATAAGGCGCTCTTAACAAGTATTATAAAATTTGAATCAAATTTATTCGTTAAATGAAATTTAAATTGTATGGACCATTTAACAAATGTATAAATAGTCAAATGTCAATAGTTATATGTTAAATAGATAATGTCAATAGTTATATGTTAAATAGACAATACTATTTAACAAAAATCTGATCATGCATTATATTTTGTAACTCATTTTTTGACATTAAATACTGAAATAAATAAATTCCGCATTGAAAAATTTAGCTAATTGTGAGATCAAACTTACTTAGAATTAAAAAAAAAATACAAAGGATTTTATCTTAATTTATTAATTTTTTATTACTAATTAATTCATTTACATTATTCACTCATATCATTAATGTAAACGAATTAATTAGTAATAAAATCGTTTTAATATTATATCCTTTTTGACTGGTTTCTTTTTAAATATTTGCATTGCAAAAAATATGTACATGCATTTCTTATTATCTACAAAATTAATTTTGCAATTAACAATTAGTTTTTTTGTGAAAATAAATTCACGGACGGATTAAAAAGTACCGTAATAATCTGTTAACATCTTCGTTTAATCTTTTGACCATCATAATTTTCAGCATCGTCTTTCAGATTTTTAGAGTCTATCTACTGAAATAAGCGATACACATTCACGTATACATAAACATATACACACGTAAAGAATACTCGACTTGTATCGCTGTATTAAAATAATCGATACTTTACCGTCGGTAGTAATCGAGTACTTGAATATACTGAAGTGTATCACGAGCATTTCTAATGGCAACAGACGCGATCGCCGAGATACCGTAGCTGCTACTTCGAAACGTGCCGTGTCTTCCAGATCTTTTATCAGATACTCACATAAAACCGAATATGAATTGCTCCCTCTCTATGTTCCCCTTTTTCAAAGAATATTATTCAAAAGAGACGTCAGAACGATCATCGTGATACACACTTCGAATTTTTTTTGAATAAATTAGGATGTCACGTATGCGTTGTCACGAAAGTAGCGGGCCCACTTTAACACGACGGATTCTCAAACCATACGAAGGTAATACGATTGCGCGATTTACATAATCAGGATTGTCACAAAACTGGAAATCAGAGAAATGAGAGAAATTAGAAATCAGGAATCAAGAAAACCAGGAAAAAGTCAGAGGATTTTGCAAAATTTTTTGGAAAATTAAAATTCTTGGCTTTAAATAAATGTAATATCCGTACATTATATTTATGCAGGATCATTACCAACTTAATAATTAAATAAAAATGGTGTCAACAATATTAATAATATTTACGCTGCCATATGTTAAATTGCTCAATAAAAAATATTTGAGGGTTTTCAAATCAGAATGAAAATTCCAAAAGTTTCAAAATATTATTGAAACCATCAGAGAAAGTCATGAAATTTTGTCTGAAAATCAAGGAAAAGTTGTAGAATTTTAGGATGAGGAGTTTGTTACAACTCTGGTAATTTCTAAACGTTGACGTGATAAAAAATTTCCAAGTCTAGAATACAAGAAAAAAAGGTCAATTAAATTCAAACTTCTATATTTTTTCTTGCCTTAAAATTTAAAAGAAGCTTATAAAATAACTTCGTTTCCTCGACTACTTCCTCGACGATAAATACGATTGCACGATAAACTTGTAAACGACATCACGTAATAACAAATTCGTAAGAATGCAATTGAATGATCAAGAAACAAAAGAAAGAAAGTCAAATTCAAACTTTTATATCCGTACTTTTTATCTTAAAATGTAGAAAATGTTTGTAACATAAAGTTTCTATCGCCATTTAAATTTTATTCGAGAGTATTTATTTCGTATAGATTATTACGACCAAACATTGATTTATTGTATAAGAAAAAATGCTAAATATAAAAGTATATTTATCATAATTGCAAAAGTTGATGAAATGACGTCAAAAGTATCGAGGTAAAAAATAGCAATACGATCTTTGCACGAGGAATTGATAATATTGATTATCACAAAAATCTAAGTTGTAAAAAGTAATTTGAAGAAGAAAGAAGAAAGATATAATTAAATTAGCATAAAAGTTACACAGAAAGAACGATATTTTGCTAAAGTATTTAAAGTATTTAATTAGATACAGATCTAAAAATAATTTTGTTGGAAACATCAACAGAATCATAAGAAACTCAAAACATAATAAAAGCAATTCTGTAAAAATGTTGATATCCCATGTAGGATTTTACAATCGGCTACATCATTATTAGTTGCTACAATTCAGGTACTGATAAACTGATCTAATATTGGCTAAGTACTGGATGATAACTTGGGTGCAGTACTGACAAACAGTACTGGCCTAGTCATTTTAGTCAGTCATTTGTCAGTGATGGCCCAGTACTGGTTGACAAAAGTCTATTCTTTTCCCACCTCAAGTTCTGAACTGGTGTAGACCATAAGATGCATAAGTTAGAGTGAGACAGCTGTAGTTTATTTCACTCTAACTTGTGCACTAGCTGAACTAGTCCAGAATTCTTCGAAAAAGAACAGGCCTAGAGCCTTGACTTAGTTGACAGTTGTAAGCGTTGGTTTCTAGACTGTTAGAATCCCTATATGGAATTCTAACAACCAGTTTGAGCATCCTATATAATTATTTTGATAGTTCAACGAGATTATTTTCAGATCTGTGTCTATCTGTGTCTATTAATTTTTCGATGCTTCAGCAAAACTGCAGTTCTTTACTTATAGGCACAAGGTTGCGCCTGTCCTTCACATGCCAAAGTGACACTCGTCACTTCGTTATCGCTTTAGGCAAATGATATTTTCACGAAATATGCGGACAAGTGTCACACGGATGCAGTGCGACGGCATAAGCGGATTTACATAGCGCACTTTTACACGTCGAGGGACGACGCGCGTATAACATCGCTCATTGAAATTCGATGAAAATATACGCATAGTTTACGCGAGCATAGTTTACGAAGCATATTTTTAAATAGATACGCGCAATTTTTTCCACCTCGCGGTATTATCATGTCCGATGAGCTTTGCGCGTTTATCGATTATTCAGAAATGTGCCTCCGAAAAAAAGGAATTTTACTATCGCGGAGAAACCGTCGATACTGTACACAGGATGTAAATGTGGCAAAATTTCACTGGCGCGACTGATCGTTCGATATCGCAGTCAAACCACTTTACTGATGAAAGAGCAAAAAATCCGATAGATTTATTCATAGAAAAAAAATGATCTACACTGAAAGAACGATATTATTGAATATTAAAAAATTTAGCTAAATACAAATTTGGAAATAATGTTTGTTATTTATATTTATAAACATTTATTTCGATTATAAAAATATTTTGTCATTAAAAGCGTGAATATTAATTTGTGTTACGTTAACTAAGAATGGCCTATTTCCTTGCACGTTAAAATTTATGATCGATAGCCATTATTATGTCACTCAATATTGATAGCATTCTAAGAATTAAAGAGAACTTAGTTTACCGTAAAGCATACAATCCTTAACAATAATACAATACGAAATGTATTGTTCCTCTTTTGCCTTGTGTAAGAATTCTTGACATCGAGATAAAAGTGTGTATTAAAGTGTCTCTCTTTTAAATTCGATTTAAACGAGGTTCGAACGGTGCCCACCGCGAAAAATCGATGGGAATCACGTAGGCCATCGAAATCGGAGTTGTGTCCTGGACCCTGGCAACACAATGGACTCAACGTTGCGTCGCGTTTGCCTCGTAAACAGCCGTATAGCATTAATGGCGTTGAAAGTTATCTGATGGGCCGATCTGCGAGGGCAAGCGATTCTTCCGCCCAGCAGCCGCCCTGTAATTTACTCGTTAGTTCGTCGTGCTTCCGTGGACATGTTTTCATTACCTTCTCTCTTCTTCCCGACGCGATCTTCCACCCGTGTTGTTACCGTCAATAATACGATTGGCTATTTTATTTCGTTATTATCATTGCTTCGAAGGAAGGCCGATCATAGCTTGGGAACTACTATGTCCCAATTTTTCCGATGTGAAATAATTGCGCGAGTAGTCCATCTTTATATCTTTTCATTTGCAAAATTATTCTAATTTTTTAGATAGAAATATAAGTGCC